TCAAACTTTCCGCTACCGGTTCTCCAGAACCTGTCAGAACTTGCTGGATTTCACCCCTGACCCTGCTCTACAAAATCTGTCACCTAGCAGGGTTTATTTCAGGCCTTGTTCTCCGATGCAGAAAAAAACTGCATTAAACTTTTTTTTAATTTTAATGCTACGGCGGAGTCAAACCAGAATTAGCTCAGCACATCATTTCAGGAGGAACTATTGCACCCGAAGAAGCCTGCTCGGTCTCGACAGGTTCTGGTTTCCGTCCTACACACTTCCATTCAGCTGCTATCTTGTCACACACAGCAATCCCAGGACTGAACCTACATTGATGCTTCCCGGCAGAGTCCGCACTATCAACTTTAGATAAGTTTCTGAACATTGGATGCTCGGCTGTGTTGTCATGCTTGGAAATGCCTCCTCCGTCTAGAAAAATGTTGGTTGTGCAGCCGATTTCTCTTGCTTGACAACTGCACGTAATTGTTGCTGAAAAAAAATTCCAGGGTTCTCTGTCATATAAGACAGATTCTAGGTAAGAAACAGGGAACTGAGCTAGTTCTCCAAGGCTGCATTTCTCTTCTACTAAACCGTTATTGGTTTAACCATGGTTTGTTGCAAGGACAAGTGTTTTCTCGACTGGGAATTGAACCTTATTGTAAAAATCAGCAGCAGCAAAGACCGCAGAGGACACGAGGCTGATGTGTGGATAGTGGTGGAGAAGGAAAGGATTTTGGGGTTAGGTGGTTGACAACAAAACGTAAATCAAAGTATCTTATGAGGGGCCCTTGGTGCTCCCTGAGCTTGGTCGTTTCCTTGCAGACATTTCATGACCCAACTAGGTAACATCATCAATGCTCGAAGGGAGTGGGTTTTGCAAAGAGGAGGAGGAGGAGGAGGAGGAGGAGAGGAGGAGGACTGTAGGGTCCTTGGTGCTCCCTGAGCTTGGTTGTTTTCTTGCAGATGTTTCATTACCCAACTAGGTTATATCATCAGTGCTAGAAGGGAGTGGGGTTTGTTGCAACCACCAAGCTCAGGGAGCACCAAAGACCCTCACATTTCAACCCTGAGCTACAAATATTCTCCTTTTTTTGATATTCACGGATACATTGTCCCAGTATCTTATCTAAGATACAATGCAGATATATTAGCATTCCTATATAAAAACTATCATAATTCTCAGGCAGTTTAAGGTTAAGATGACACGGTTTATTTTATTTTATTTTTTTAAAAAATAAGGTTAAATAAGAGAAGCCTGAGTTAGGACTTCTAACATTACAAGAGAAAGAATAATTTTGTTAGGGTTGATTACTGTAACTTATTAATTTTGATTAACAATTAACATGTATTAATATTACAAGGGAAAAACACTGTTAATCTGAGATTACTATTAGAAAATACTATTATTATTATTATTATTATTATTATTATTATTATTATTATTGAGTATTACTCAAAAGAATTGTAACCAGACAACACACTGTCTCTATGGATTTTGAACATGTCGCTCTTTCTATTTATATTAATAATAAATAAATTATATAGAGATATTAAAAGAATAATGGTTTAATGACATGGTTTAAACCAGCATTTCTCAACCTGTAAGATGCATGGACTTCAACTCCCAGAATTCCTCAGACAGCGTGAAATCACATTTCTTAAAGTTGTCCAAGTTGGGGGGGGAGGGGGGTTTGAAGGAAATACAGCAATTTATTCAAGATGCTAAACTTGAGCAGGTTTTTTTTTTTTTTTTACAAAGTTCGTGTTTTCAAAAGTGAGGCTACAATGCAGACACTGTTGGACGAAGGGATTAATTTAACTTGGTTACAATATAATCAATTACAATTGAGATGGAAAGAGGACCAAAAAACTGGTATTATGATGCATGAGGAAGAATTGGTTAGACATATAAGAGAGAAAGGTCCAATGCATATCAAGAGGCTTTATAATGTTTTGCTAGAAAGGGATTCAGAAACGGAATTAGTTAAAGATTGCATGATTAAGTGGGCACAGAACTTTGCAGAACCAGTGATGTTGGAAACATGGGAAAAAATTTGGGTCCAGAATGTTAAATTTACACAGTCGCAGAACCTGAGGGAAAATTTTTATAAAATGTTTTATAGATGGCATTTAGATCCCAAAAAGTTGTCATGTATGTACCCTAATGTTCAGCCAAAATGTTGGAGATGTGAATGTTTGGATGCTACGTATTATCATGTTTGGTGGACCTGTAGGAAAGTTAAGGCTTTTTGGATAAAAATTTGGTGGGTCATGCAGAATGTTTTGAAGAAAAAAATTCAATTCTCTCCACAACTGTTTTTATTGGGTATAGTTAAGGGTTTTACATTGGGTGAAACAAAATTGATATTGTATATGATAACAGCAGCAAGATTGTTGATAGGTAAATACTGGAAGAATGAAGCTTTGCCCACTATCGAGGAATGGACTTTGAAGATGGCCAGTTTTGCAGAGATGGCGAAGATTTCAGCATATTTAAAAGATTGTTCACAAGAGACTTATGAATGGGAATGGAAAAGGTGGATAGAATATGTTCAGAACAAATATCAAACTAGAAAGTATCAAATAGCTTTTATTTGAAAATAATGTATTGGAAATATTTTAATGTAATGAGGTAAAGAGAAAGATTATACAGGGGAGGGAGGGGTTCAAGTTTATATATAAGTGTTATATTAAGGGTTTTTTATGAGTATGAGTATAGGGAAGTCTGGGGGGAGGGGAGGGTTAGGGAGGGTTAGGGAGGTTGGGAAGTCTGGGGGGGGAGGTGGGGGGGGAAAAGGGGTGAAAATGTAATTGTAAAACTTTTGCAATAAAAAAAAAAAGTGAGGCTACATTCAAAAGGCATTTTTAGTGACTTTATCCACGCGGTTTGCAGGGCAATAATAAAGAGCAGAACGCTTTTTGGAAGAAAAGGGGGGAAAAAACCCCCCTCCCTTCCAGTTTAATTTAGAGGGAGTCCAGTTTCCCAGCAAGCTTTCACTTTCCTTACTTTCACTTTCGCTTTCATCAGCTTCTGGCTCAAAGCGACGCGCAAAGCGAAAACACGCGTTCTTTCACCACGTGTGAAAAACAAAAAAAAGAGAGACAGCTTTGGTTTAAGAAGCAGCCGCAAAGCCCTGCGCGGATCCAGTTTCCATCCAAGCAAGAAAGTTGGCTGCGATCCAAAGCGCACAGCTCCGTCTATCCGCCCCAGGCGGGGAACGACCGGTTGCACACGTGTGTGTGCGCCCGCGTGTGAATGGGAAATGAAGGGGAAATCTCCGCCTTAACGGTCTGGAGGAAAAGCAGGATAGGAATCACACGCTAGCCAAGGGGAAAAAAAAACAACAACACGCATCCCGGGGAAAAAATACCCGCGTCTGTCCCGGGGGGGGGGCTCTGAGTAACCCCCCACTCCGGCCTTTTAAAGCAGGAGGGGCGGAAAGGGAGAGGTTCACACGTTCCTAGCCAAGGGGATTTTGCGCGGGGATGGCAAGAACTCCACGGCTAGGAACGTGTGAATCCGTCCTCCTCCGTCGGGATCGGTTCATACGTTCCTTACTAAAGAGATCTTGCGCTGGGGTGCAATAGCTCCTTGCCTGGGAACGTGTGAAGAGGTTCCCCTTCTTGGGGATCGATTGCCACATTCCTAGCCAAGGCGATCTTGGGTGTAGACCTTGTGCGCGGATGCTTGGAACGTGTGAAGAGGTCCCCCTCCTCCTCCGGGATCCATTCACACGTTCCCAGCCGAGGGGATCTTGCGTGTAGATTTTGCGCGGGGCTGCAAGATCTCCGTAGCTGGGAACGTGTGAATCCTTCGCACTCTGCCAGGATCGATTCATATCTTCTTTGCTAAAGAGATCTTGCGCTGGGGTGCAATAGCTCCTTGGCTGGGAACGTGTGAAGAGCTTCCCCCTCCTCCGGGATCGATTCACACGTTCCTAGCAGAGCGGATCTCGCATGTCGATCTTGGAACGCGTGAAGAGGTTCCCCCACCGCCGGGATCCATTCCCACGTTCCTAGCCGAGGGGATCTCACGTGTCGATCTTGCGCGGGACTGCAAGATCTCTTTGGCTGGGAACGTGTGAATCGGTCGCTCTCTGCCGCGATCGATTCACGCGTTCCTAGCCACTGTGATCTTGCGTGTTGATCTTGGAACGCGTGAAAAGGTTCCCCTACTTGGGGATAGATTCACACGTTCCTAGCCGAGGGAATCTGGCGCGGGGCTGCAAGCTCTCCTTGGCTGGGAACGTGTGAAGAGGTTCCGCCGGGATCGATTCCCACGTTCCTAGCCGAGGGGATCTTGTGTGTAGATCTTGGAATGCGTGAAGAGGTTCCCCCTCCTCCCGGATCGATTCACACGTTCCTAGGCGAGAGGATCTCGCGTGTCGATCTTGCGCGGGGCTGCAAGATCCTCCTGGCTGGGAACGTGTGAATCCGTCGCTGTCCGCCGCGATCGAGTCCCACGTTCCCAGCCCAGGGGATCTCGCGTGTCGATCTTGGAACGTGTGAAGAGGTTTCCCCTCCGCCGGGATCGATTCCCCCTTGATTCCTAGCCGAGGGGGTCTGGCGCGGGGCTCGGCTGGGAGCGGGTGAGGCTGCTCCTGCTGCGGCTTTCAGGGCGGGGGGTCCCGTCCCATCCCGGTTCCGCGGAGCCCCCCGAGGGGGAGAGGGGGAAGGCGGGGGCGAGGCGAGGCGCGTGGCCGCGGCAGAGCCGGGAGCGCGCGTGGCGGCGGCTGTAACCCGAGCGCGGCCGGAGCCCGGGCTGGAGAGGCGGCTGGGGAGGCGCCGGAGCCGAGGGAGGAGCTGCTGGCCGGAGGGTCCCCGCCCGCCCCGCAGCCCCGGCCAAGCCGGCTCCCCTCCGCCGCCGCCGCCGCCTCGCCGCGGGCCAGGCTCTCCGGGGAAGGGAGGAAGGGGCGCTGGAGCCGCCTCTGGCCGGTTGGGGTCCTGGCAAAGCGGTAAGGAGAAACTTCGGCGCTCGCCTCCCCCACCACCCTCCTTCCTTCCTTCCTTCCCTCTCTCTCTCTTCTTCCCTCCCTTCTTCTTTCTTTCCCCCCCTTTCCCCTACTCCCTCTCCCTCCCTCCTTCCTTTCCTGCCCCACTCTTCACCCTCTCTTTTTCCTTCTTTTCCTCCCTCCTCCTACCCTCCCTCTTTTCCTTCCTTCCTTCCTTCCTTCCTTCCTTCCTTCCTTCCTTCCTTCCTTCCTTCCTTCCTTCCTGTCTTCTACTCTTCCTTCCCACCCTCCCTCCTTCCCTCCCTTTCCTTTCCTTTTCTTCCCTTCCCTTCCTCTCTCCCTCGACTTTTACCTTTCCTTTCCTTTCCTTTCCTTTCCTTTCCTTTCCTTTCCTTTCCTTTCCTTTCCTTTCCTTTCCTTTCCTTTCCTCTCCTTTCTTTTCCTTTCCTTTCCTTTCCTTTCCTTTCCTTTCCTTTCCTTTCCTTTCCTTTCCTTTCCTTTCCTTTCCTCTCCTCTCCTCTCCTCTCCTCTCCTTGCACCCCTTCCTCTTTCCCCCTTCCTTCCCCCCTTCAGCCAACCCCTTCTCCCCCTTTCCTGCCTCACTTCCCTCTTCCCCTTCTGGTCCACATCCACCCCCCCCTTTCCCTCTCCTCTCCTCCCCTTTTCCCCCTGGATCCCTCTTGGCCACCCAGCCAGAAAAGAGAGAGAGAGAGAGAGAGAGAGAGAGAGAGAGAGGGAAGGCAGGAAAAATCTCTGCTTTGCATTCGGATGGGAGGTTACTCAGAAACCAGAGCTACGAATTGGGGCTCTTCTGTATGGAAAGGCTGCTGAAGCTTTCAAGGGTGCTGAAGGAGACCAGGTAGCTTTTTTCTGCATGGGACAAGCCTAAATATAAATGCCTTTCTATAGCTTTATTCCATATGGCCCAAAGAGCTACAAACCTCCCCAATTTCCCCTCTGCAGAGTAGATAGCTTATTAATCCTCTCCCCCCCCTCTCTCTTCTTCCTTCTCTCTCTCTCTCTCTCTCCCACTCTCTCCTTCCTGCCTCTCTCTCTTTCCCTCTCTTTCCCTCTCTCTCTCTCTCCCCCCCCCACTTCCATTTAATTAAAAACCTTGGACTTCCACCCTCTGCATACTTTTCCGCTAACTCTGTTGAGTTTCCCAGCACACTCTGAGTAAGCCTGCATAGGATATGATGGGGAGGGAGGGGGCGGGGGGTGGGGGTGGGGAGGGAGGCCAGTGTTGACAGTAGAGACTGGATTTCTGATTTTTTTTAAATTTTGTTTGGGGAGGAGGGAAGAAAAAGATTCTTTCTCTGACTCACGGATCTGCAGTTCAAAGTTTCTGTGTGGGTTTTCTTGTGTTTTTAATCCTGGTGCACATTTCCTCCCTTCCCTACACATACACACACCAGTCGGATGTCAGGTTGACGTGACCAGCAGCACTGCCTGCCTGCCTGTTGGAGAATTTGTGAGCTGGAGGAATGTTTATAAATCAAAATGCAATCTGGCCCAGTTTACAGGTTTGGGGATATGCCCTGTAGAATTACGCCTGGGTGGCATGGAAACTGTCCTTAACAGTGGGAAGAAGAGCAAGGAAAATCATTGCATTCCGGACCCTATATACATATATATATATATATATATACACATACACATACACATACATATACATATACATGTATGTATGTATCTATCTATATATGTATGTATTTGTGTGTCTGAGTTGCGAAATCTGCCTTGTGTGTGTGGTTTTTTGGGGTGTGTGTGTGGAATTTCTGAATTGTGCCAAAGTGGCATCAGGACCAGTTCAAAATTAAAAGCAGGCCGAACGGGTGAAAATGCAAGAAAGAAAACTCGTCACTCCTTGATTTCCAAAAAAAGAGAGGAAAAAATAATAATAATGGTTGGTTATATAATCATCCAGATTATAAAAGTATAATTTTGCAGATGGGAGAAAACAAGGCACGTGATGAGATTTCTCCAAAGTAATTTTTTTCCCCCTGCTTCGGGAGGATAAATGGGGTTTGCTGTTGGTTAGGAGGAAAAAAAAAAAGATCATTTAAAAACAAAAAGTTTTCGTGGCATCGGATAAGTTTTTTTAATTGGTGGTTATCGCATTTTTCTTCGTGTCCTTCTTTTGCTTGTCGAAAAAGAAATCCTTAAAAGCCAAACTTTCTAGTTGTTTTCTTTACATTGTGTCCTTGTGATGATTTGAATGGCTGACCCAGAATTTTTTGGGTGGGTGGGAGAAAAATACACAATGGAGGGGAAAGGGGTTGAAAAATGTCCTCACCTCTGCTCAATCCATCTCCTTGATTGCATATATGTATCTTGATTGGCCCAAAGGGAGAGCTTTATTTTTTTTGAAATTGAGAATTATTCCCATCTGAAGAAGAATTAGCCCAACAATAGGAAAAACCTATAGCCTGTGGTTATGGGGAGATTTAAATTTTCCCAGAGCTTTGTAGGTAGGAATGTGCAATTTACTTATTTTGATACTATAGGATTGCAGATGAGTTTTTACAGCTGTTAACATCTGAATGGGATTTATGATGTAGATGAGGGTTTTGATTCCTGAGGTTGCTTATATGCATTGGGGTCATTTAAGTATGGAAAAAGGAATCTGAACTTAAGAGTTTATTAGGTTAAGATATTTCTTACATGTTATCTCTGTAACAATCCTCCAGTTCTGGAATTTCAATGTGCCTCAAGGTGAATATAAGCGTTTCTTGTTATTGGGTTTATTTATTTATTGGGCTTATTTATTGAGCTGGAGTTTTTCCCCCTTACATGCATTGTTGAAATGCAGTACAGTTTATAGTCCTCAGTTTATGACCACAAATGAGTCCAAAATTTCTGTTGTTAAGCGAGGTATTTGTTAAGGGAGCTGTTCCGTTCTACGACTTCTCTTGCCATCTTTTTTTTTTATATGTGTTCAGTTTATAGCCCCGTAGATTTCTTTTTATTTTCCCCACCGCCTTATAAATTATATTCCAAATAATGGCAGACCTACGAATGTTATTCTCATATATTTGCAGCCTGGTATTTTTGCAATTGTTTTACCTGCAAATTTGTCTTCTAAAAATCTTTTCGTCTGGCTAATCGTTTCCAGTGCCTCAGTAGTTCTTAGGTGCTGAGTTTCTTATGTATACAGGTGTAGTCCTCGACTTAGGACCACAATTGAGCCCCACATTTATGTTGCTAAGTCAGACGGTTCTTAAGTGAGTTTTGCCCCATTTTACGACTTTTCTTGCCATTGCTGTTAAGTGAATCACTGCAGCTGATAGTAATCTGGTTGTTAAGTGAATCCGGCTGCCGCGTTGACTTTACTTGTCAGAAGGTCGCAAAACGGAATCACGTGATCTTGGGGACACAGCAGCCGTCATAAATATGAGTCAGTTTCCAAGATTCTGAATTTTGATCACCATGGGGATGCTGCAACGGTCGTTAAGTGTGAAAAACGGTCATAAGTCGCTTTTTTCCAGTGCCATTGTAGCTTCTGTTGTTAAGTCGAGGACTGCCTGTATTCAGAATTATTATGGAAGCAGAGACATTTTCCTCTGGACTTCAAAAATATATTTTATGAATCTTCAACCTCTTTGAAGTATTTCTCTCGGTTGGGTATCGCAACTCCTGTAAGAGCTACTTAGCGGATGGACTTCAGGAGTCACAATTAAACGTGTGAAAACATTGAATTGTAGTTACACAGAGATGGGTAGGCTAGTATCCTTCTATTAAGGCATTTCCCCCCCATCTTAACTAAGAACATTTTAGATTTTTGTGTGAGAACTTTGCTTGCACACGGAACACCTTCTAAACTTGAAGGTTGTTGAGAAAGCTTTTTGACTTGTAAGATGCATGCACTCAGGTAAAGACCCTTGCAGCTGCAATCTCTTTAAAATAACTTAGAACAGCAATGGCTAACCTTTTTGCCATCGCGTGCCAAAAGCGGGGGGGGGGTGTCGCACATGCGCGTGCCCACGCCCATAATTCTCTGTGCCTCGCCCCCGTGCATATGTGTGCAACCCCTCCGCGCTTCCCACGCTTTGGGCACGCGATGGCACGGTGGGCCCAGGAGGCCCGTTTTTCGCCCTCTCTAGGCTCCAGAGCCTTTCTAGGAGCCTGGGGAGGGCAAAAACGGAGGCCCTCCGGAGGCCAGAAAACGCTGAGCTCGCGTGCACACCAATATGGCTTCGCCTGCCACCATCACAGACTTCGAAGATAGAAGAACAAAGTTGGAAGGGACCTTGGAGGTCCTCTAGTCCCACCCCCTGCTCGAGCAGGAGACCTGGCCTCGACCGTTCCAGGCAAATGGCTGTCTAGTCTCTTGGTTTTTTTTCAAAAGGCAACTGGACTTTCTGTTTTTTTTTTCTTTGAAGGCATTTCAATAAATTTCATTAAATAAATAAATAAATTTCGCTTCTCATCCAAGAAGCTTCTTCAGCTCTGACTGGATGGTGTCGGAGCGGAAGAAACTTCTTGGATGAGAAGCGAAACGTCTTCAAAGAAAAAAAACCAGAAAGTCCAATTGCCTCTTGAAAAAAAAAAAAACACCTTTGGGACAACCATGATCTGAATGACTGAGCATCTCCATAGATGTCCAGTCTCTTCTTGAAAGCCTCCAGTGATGGAGCACGTACAACTTCTGGTGGCAAGTTGTTCCACTGGTTAATTGTCCTCACTGTTAGGAGATTTCTCCTTAGTTCTAGGTTGCTTCTCTCCTTAGTTTAGTTTCCATCCATAGTTTCTTGTCCTGCCTTCAGGTGCTTTGGAGAACAGGTTGACCCCCTCATCGTTTTAGGAGCCCCTCAAATATTGGAAGATGCTATCATGTCTCCCCTAGTCGTTCTTTTTATTAGACTGGACGTACTGTTAATCTTGAGTCTTGATTGGTGTGGATAACAAGTATTCCTGGATTTAACAACCCACAATTGAGCTCAAAATTGATGTTACTAAGCGAGACATTTATTAAGTGAGTTTTCCTCCTCCTTTTTACGACCTTTCCTGACACTGTTGTTAAGTGAATCCTCGGAGGTGTTAAAGTTAGTAAGGTGATTGTTAAGTCTTTCCCGTTGTCGCCGCTTGACAGAATGTCACAAAGGCAGATCGTTTGATTCTGGGGCACTGCGTCCGTCATAAATACGAGTCGGTTGCCTAGCATCTGAGTTTTGATCACGTGACGAGGGGGATGCTGCAACGGTCGTAAGTGTGAAAAATGGTCATAAGTCACTTTTTCCCACTGCCGTTGTAACTTCAAACGGTCACTAAATGAATTGTTGTCCCAATTAAAAAAAATTTTCCTTAGTTTATCAAAGTATAAAATACAAAGAAGAAAAAACATGGAAAAGTAAGAAGAGAGTGAAGGAAAAAGACAGGGTATAGTATAATGCGAGAAAAAAAAAAAGGAAAAAGGCACCAACTTCCATCTCTCTTTGGCACCGTCAAAGGTAACAACGTTACAACTACAACTTTTTCCTTTTACACAGCAGTATGTACAAGCCATTTCTATCACAACAAACTTTACAAAAACAGAATCAAAGTTTCATTTTTTCCCCCTCTCATTGCAAACACAAAATCCGGAAGCAATTTGAAACCAGAGACAAAATTAAATAATAATCTCTTATTTGGATAAAAGAAACCTTTGAACCATCTCAGCTTCTCCTTGCTGTGGGGAATAATAATATATCCTTCATTCTCGTATTTTCAAATCTGGTCCATAATATTTTACCAACTTTAAAATATTGTTCAGCATTACTTTAAAAAAAAAACGGGGTACCTGCGTATACATACATACTCATGTTATACATACAAAAACTAACTTAAAACTTTCTAACAATACATATATCAAGTTTTTTT